TTAATTCAAAAAACTTTTAAAAGTTCTGTTTTCAATTTTAAGAAAAAATTATGTTTTTAAGTTTTGAAATGTTTTAACTAATAAAAAACGTTAAGATATACCATGTAACTTAATAAATAAATGTTATAAGTTCTCATAAACCAATCACGTAGTTGATTATTGCTCTGATTAATAGCTAGTCAAAAAAGTCAATTTAAACTGTGACATACAACCCAAAATTAAGTTCTAAAGCTTTTAAATAGACAAAAATAACTCTTGTAAACAAAATTAACTGTAGTAAAATTTTTAGAACGCAAACTCGAAAGAAAGTTCTGAATTGTTAAATAAAAGTTAGAAGGCCAAGGCCAAAATATTCATGGGCAAAGCAAAATTTTCAAGGCCAAGACCAAGGCCAAGAGCAACAGTTTCAAGGCTAAGACCAAAGCCTTAATTTTTCGCCTAAGGCAAGGCTGAGACTAAAGACAAACAACTCTGCTCTTATTCCAATACTTTTCAAGCATCTAATCTCGATAGAAAATCATTAAGTATTAAGTTCTAAATTCTCTTGAATTAAAAACTAAAAATAGTTTATAAAACATACCGCAAAATATAAGTTGTTGCAGTTTAATTTATAAAGTTTTAATGAGCCTTATTCTATATTCTTTTAATATTAAAAAGTTTTTATTTAAACGTATAGCTACTAACAGTGTTTGTATTACAAGCTGCAATCTTGTATTAATTTCTCTACTTCTACTTGAATGTAGACATGTTCCAGAACTCTTTATAAAAGAAACATCCAACCCTACTTGTGGTCCAAACAAATCTCAAAGAGATTATCTGTTTGAAAAGTTCAAGGAAGAATTTTATAACCTTAACAAGAAAATAAAAGAACTTAGAGTGTGGGATTTGATCAAAATAGTTTGATCTCTTGATCAAAATAGTTTTTTTATTTCAACAAACGCTTGAAGTAAAAAAATTCTTATAAGGAATATTGAGAACTAGTGGGGCTAATTCTTTTTTTTTTGGTAGACATATTAAAAGAGGTTTCCTCATTCGGTATGTCGGTTCTGATTATCATACAAGATGGATGTCAAAAGCCATTTTATTATACAAAAATATTCTTACTCTCTCGTACTTTTAAACTTAATGATAAAAGAGCAAAAAAAGTTTAGAGGATGGCCGAGTAAACTTGTCTTTTTTTTATTTCTGCAAGCTGTTATTACTGTTGCTGCTCCAGCTGAAAACCTGGACTTAATTTATTTAATGAGGAAATTTAAATCAATTTACTTTAAAAATGCACACAAAACTATCAAGTCCAAAATGGCACCTGGGATACTTAAATGAGGAGCTAGTAGTCTTTCCTTTGATTCGATTCGAGAATCTATGAGTTATGCAAGAAAAGGCTTCGAAAGTTTATAAATTAGAAGCTTTTCAATAAACTTTTCAAGTCCTGAAGCGTTCACTTACAAACCCAAACTTCCGATTATTATTTGACGTGACAGAGAAAAAACTTTTTAAATCTCTTCATAAGCGAAAAGTCACAATAATTTTTTCATCTGTTAAAATTAGCAGACCCCAAGAATGGCTAAGCATTCCATCAAAGCATCGGAACAAGTTCGAGGGCTTCAACATTGCAAAAAAATTTGTATGGAGCCTTTTTTGTATCAACGTTATTGCAGAGCGAGTTATTAACCTTGTAGGAGACATCAAGACAAATGTTTTAATCCAGTAGAGAGAGAACAACTTGCTCAAGTTGTGGAAAAACAACGGAAAAGCTTTGAAGGATCATATTAATCAAAGAAATCAAATGATAACACCTGATGACTAAAAAATGAGACAAAATTTAAATCAATTTATTGTATGCCATTGATAATCATGTAATTAAAGTAAATTAGTATATTTATAGGGAATTTAATACTCTAATAAAATTATATTACAGTTTTAAAATATTGATTAAAATGGCTCCGTATAAAACAAGTTTGCAAGAAGGCATAAGAAAACCCATTTGCCAATTTAGAAATTAGCATCTGGAAAAGTCAAAAATGTTCACAGTAAAACACTTTCTAGATGAAGGAGCATCGAAAGCGACCATATTTTGTGCTCTAGAACGTGTAGACAATAATTTAAGCTATCAACGAAAAAAAGGAAGCGGTCCAAAGACGAAAAAATAGACAAAAAGCACATATACCAATTGAAAAAGGCATTTGATCCTCATCACGGTGTTTTGCAACATCAAGTAGCTCGAAGATTCGATTGTGACCAATCGTATATAGATCGAGCTAGTTGAATCTATACGATTATATATTATAGTTGAATTTATACGATTATAGTTGAATTTATACGATTGTGACCAATCGTACAGACTCGAGCTAGTTGAAAAAAAGATTCCACATTGAAGCTTTTGCTTCAATGTGGAATCTTTTTTTCAACTAGCTCAAATCAAACCTTTGTGTCGGTATATATATCGCAATTTTAGGAATTTTAATTTTGTCTTGGATGACGAATCATATTTCACATATACGAATACAACATTGGATGGCAAACGATGACTTCTATTTTAGCGACGTGTCATCTACAACTAGCGACGTCAAATTCAAAAGAAAGAAGAAGTACGAGGAAAAGGTGCAAGTCTCTTTGATTATATCGCCTAATAGGACTTCAAAACCAATGTTTTTTGAAAAGTGGCTAAGTGGCTAATCAACAAAAAAGCATACATTGGATGTCTCCGCAAGCGGTTAATACCCTTCATTGATGAACATTATAAAAATAAAGAGTACTTGTTCTGGTCAGATTTAGCTAGCTCCCACTATGCAAATGAAGTGGTTTCTTTTCTCGATGCCAATAACACCAAATACCTGCCAAAGGTAAAAAATCCACCCAATGTACCAGAAGCTCGACCAATTGAGGAATTTTGGGGTCAGTTGAAACGCTTAGTCTACGAGGATAATTGGTATGCAACAAGCATTCCTCAACTCAAACGGCGTATCGTGAATTGTCTTAACAAAATGGATCCGGAAGTGACAAAACATTATGCCTCAATGACTTCAGTTCATCTAGGTCGAATTGTTTTTTATGATGTTTTTGAAAACCAATAAATATATTTTTTTAAATATCATATAACTGTTTATAAATTTATTTGAAATTAAATTTGATATCTATGTAACTATTGCTATAATAACAATTTTAAAGTTGTCTTATTTTTTAGTCATCAGGTGTTACATATTTTCAACAAACAAAAAAATAACATTTCAGTAACGCGATTAGTTGTATATTTAAAAGTATTTTAATAAATCTTTTGTGGGATTTACATAGTTAGATTCGTTAATAGATAGTTTAGACAACATTAAAGTATTTTGTTTAAAATACTTTGACAAATATAATGAAGTTAGTTTGTGATATATCTGATACACAAAGTTAGTTTGTTATACATAAAAAATACATGTGAAAAGTAGAGTTTAGCATTTATTACATAAATGTATATAATGTACTATTTTGTCAATCCCTTATTTATTTTAGCATTTAGCAATTGGCATTTGTCAAAATTGTTAAATCTTTGTATATTGACCAGTTTTTTTTATTAAATTACAGGCAAAAAATTATAATTTTTTCTAATAAAATGGTAATCTTTATGACACCTCCCATAAAATCTTTTTGTGGTATACACACAGCCTGCCCTATCAATGAAGAAAACCCTAAAAGCAGAAAAGTAGTTTTTGAGATATTGGTTAAAAAATTCCAATGCGTAAATGTTATAATGTTTGCTATGATTTTATTAACCCTTGATTTTTTAACAGACGTAAAATCTTGTAATGAATCATATTTCAGCACCTCACTAAAAAGGTTTAATTTAGCGTGTTCTTGATTGGGAGGGAAGTATTTTGAAACACCAATATTAAACTAAAAAGCTTCATTAATTTGATTGAGCCAAGTTTTCGATATAAACTTCAACGCACAAATACGGTTTACTTAAGCTACAAAAAAATACAATATATATTTTTTTACGTTTGTCTTATTTCAATGATAGGATTATTGCAAAATAGAAATGCCATATTTAAGCTATGAGTAAAAAAAAACTTAAAACTATATATTTTTAATTCTAGGACTATAGAAAAAATATATTTTATTAAACAATATCATTAATTAGACAGCTTTTGGATACTTTTTCCTGATTTAAAAATTTCGATAATTTTGTCGTGAAATCTGGTCTTTATTTATGATTGATTTAAATGTAACAAAATTATAACTAAAAAAATTGTATTTTAGACTTATTTATTTTACATTATATTTATTATTATACTATTTTATATTTAACATTTTATATTTATATATTATACTTTTTATACTTGTTTATTGTATTTATTATTTATTTAATATTATATACTATTATTTTATACCGGTTTTCCGTGAAACCTGACTGCAAAAAAATAGATTTTAACAAAGAAAGCGACATATGAAAACAGTCATTTCAATCGCCGCTTTGCAAGAAGTAGTTTCTAAAAAAACATAAATACAAATATAGCATTATTTTTTTTAAATATATATTTAACAATAGAAACGCTGAAGATGTTAAAAATCTTTATTTATCAAAATCTACTCCACTATTTTACTCTAAAATCAAATAAAATCCAAAACAATTTGAACTACAAATTGAATTTAATATACAACTTATTTTAACTAAGCAAAATCTGATACAACAAAACCAATCTTAAAAACAACAACAACAAAAAAAAAACTTGACACATAAGATTTCATTATATATATATATATATATATATATATATATATATATATATATATTTATATATATATATATATATATATATATATATATATATATATATATATATATATATATATATATATATATATATATATATATATATATATATATATACATATACATATACTGTATTTCAATTTATAATTAACCATACAAATCTTACTTATTAATCAACATGGATAATAAAAAAATAATAATCTTTTATTAATAGGAAATTGAAAAATATATTGATAAACATATGTTTCCAGATGTTTTTTTAATCTGCAACGAATTAATGGTTTACACTTTAAAAAAAAAAAAAGTTATTTACATACAATATATAATTTGCTGATTCAA